GGGTGGGGGTGGGGGTGGGGTGGGGTGTGTGGGCGTGGGTGTGATGCCTGGACAGCTCTGACATCGCGTGCAGCAACGATGTACTCGCCACTCGCCGCGTGATTGCTGACTGAGTGAACTAGGCTGATCTGCGACACTGCAACTAGAGGTAACTAGACTCTGGATTGTAGCACCTTTTTTAATATCCGATTCTGTAATTCTACATTCAGGGCTACTGTATGCTGAAGACAGCTGAAACATGGTAACGCGGCGTACCGCGATCCAGGGCTAGGCATGCACTGAACTGTATGGGCAGTGTGCCCGGCGTTCACATCTATGCGGCGCTGTCTCTCTCATATCGCTAATCGTATGCTGCTTCTCTGCCCCACGGCTAACTAACCCCACGCCTAACTCAAGCAGACTCAACTTAGGCCACGAGCTTTCGTGACCAATAAACTCTGCTCGCGCTTCGGGCACGAAGATGGTTCGGCAATTAAACTGACTCCTCAACAATGCTGGTGTGGGAGTCTTGGCCAGCATCCTGAGTAGCGCTAAATCATTTGTCTGGTGCTTTCCCGTGATGACTATCAGAAGTGTACACATAGCTTGTCATTAGTGGCTGTTCAAAAAGGCTTGGGGGTGCATGCGAGGGAGTGCCGATGGAGGGCAGTGTGTGCCCAGGAGAGCGTGTGCCAACAGATTTAGAAGCATCGTGCTGCAAAGAAGCTGTATGTTCAGGCACCTTACCTTGCGGTTTTTCACCACACACTAACTTGTTCAGTGGCAGTAGAGGCACAGTGGGGTGTGAGTACATGTCGCCGTGCTGATGCGGTGAAGCCAGCATCTATTCATGCAGACATGTCAGGCTCAAGCCCGAAAGAATCTTTGCAAGAGTCTTCGCTGTCTGAAGGCCCGTCTGGGTCACTGGAGTGATCTCCACCCTGACCTGTTCTCTTGTATCCACAGGAGCCCTGCCTCTCAGATCTCAGGAGCATCTGCCGACAACATCCAAGCAGTGTCTTAGCGTCGCCAAACTCCGCAGGGTTCAGCCAAATCTCCACCCGCCAAGTGCGTGTACAAAAATATACAAACAAACTCGCCTTCTCCATTTGCACTGGCAAGAGCTACTGGGCTGAGGGGTGCCTCTGCATAGCGCTCGGCCTGGGCCAGGAAGCTGCCTTCGGCTCTGAGCCTGGCGGCGTTCAAGGAATGCGAGCAGGTGAGCCACAACATGCCGCAACATTCCCGATAGACCCCAAACCTACACGTGCCTCTTGCACTTCATTTCCACGTTTTCCAATTGGCCCTTTGCATGTTGTGGTGGCCTCAGGAGCTGCGGGCACAAGCAAACACGGAAATGAAGATTTTGCAGGCCCGCGCCCTGAACATTCTGGCTGGATTTCCTCCTGGAGCTCATCCTCCCGCTGGAAAGCTGCAGCCAGCTCCTGAGCATGTTTCAAGCAAGCTGATGCAGCCATAAGATGTCACAAGACAACAGCCAAAGCCTCGTGCAACTCCGGAGCTGTTCGAAGACGTTTTCGCGCGGCCTACAGCGAGAGCTGTCAAAGAGCCAGAAGACTTCTGCGAGCCTCCTCGCTCCTGCCTGCCAGCTGAAACCCTCCAGCGAGCGGAGCATGCTCGCAGCCATGGCGGCATCCGGGATGTCAAGCTGGGAAGGCGGGGATGTTCCGTTAGGGCAGAGTGAGGCTGAGTGAAATGTAGGAAAAGCGTGTCGGTTCTGGTTTCGGCACGGCGATGAAGCATCCAAAGCCAAGCGGAGCCCAAGCTCGGCGCACAAGTACACCCAGCATGACAGGGCCGCAGAACCCCACTCCCCTCCAGTCTCCTTTCGGCAATCGGACACAAAGCAGAGCCACAGAGCCCATGTTTCGCCTTGGAAGAATGAATATTTATGTCTCCGCGAGGCACTTAGTCTGAATCCAAGGAGGTTGAGGACGATACCCAGGAGGGCTGCTTGTTGTTCCCGCGCTTGCCGTGTCATCACCTCTGCAAGGAGAGAGATCTCGTGGTTGGGCGATGCCGACTCGCGCTTCCAGAATCCCTCAGACGACTCTCGGGTGCAAGCGCGAGTCGTGTGGCTCGCCTGCTTCTTGGCCGTGGCATAGACCCTGAGCAAACGGCAGGCTGTGAAGCTTTCGGCTTCGCTGCTTCTTGAAGACTTCTTGAGCGACCTTCCCAGGACTTGCTGCACTTGCTCCTGCCACGACAGGAACTGTCCAAACCCGGCCATCGCCCAAACGCCATCTTGCAATTGGGAAACCATCCGGCTAGCGTGCGAGTCCTGCGCCACTCTGTCGGACTTCACTGCACCCACCTCAGACTGGGGACACTTTAAGGGACTCTGTGGTCGTGCTGTCGGACCCCAACCTCACGCTGCCAGAGCAGCAGCCACTGCTGAAGCAGAACTTGCTCACGGGCCTTTGCCTAGAGAGACACGCAGAGGGTTCTTGTGAGAAGGCCCAGCAGCCTTCGAAATTGAACAGTCAGTCCATGTCGATGTTAGCGATCATGCTTTCGCACACGATGTCGCAAGCACTCTGACCGTCTCAAAATGTCGGACTCTGGGTCCGCACCATGTGATCGACATTGTCTTTCGCCAACGCCTTGCAGCTCGCCTGCCGCATCGTGCAATCACTTGCATGCTCTGGGGCTCAGCAATATCATTTGTAGATTCCTTTTGTAAGCAGTAATGCGGCCTTCATTCTGAGAAGGTGCCGCTCTGCATCGGCTATCTGCTCCTCGTACATATCCCGCAGCGCTTTGTCTGCCTGAAGCCCGTATGCTTTGCAGCACACTTTCTCTTTCTTCGGCCAACTGTTCATCCCTTAGCCAGGCCACCTTAGTTTGTTCTAGTGATCCTCGCCACGCAGCAAGGACGGCACACGCCAGCGACCTTGCCCGAAGCAAAAGCTGGGGGAAGGGCCAAGACCAAGGCCAAGCTTTTACTGAGGTGAAGGCCGGCTTGAGGCACAAGCGAAATGTCCTAACACCTGCGTCGCGGCTTTTTGCTTTGCAGTGATGCCGCCGAGTCCGACGTCTAGGCGGGCTCATCTCAATGGGCAGAGACAGACTTGCTTAAACCTACAGTATGCCGGAAAGATCAACTTAAGGGTCGAAGAAGATAGCAGCCAAACACCCGACGAGCGCCTTCTTCACTTTCCCCTTCTGCTGACCTCCAAGGCCTGCCAGCTGGGCCTCCAGACAACCCGCGGTTGGCCCCAAATTCCCCGGCGAGCCCGAGAAGAAAACCTTTCAGAGCTCCTTTCCTGTGTCATCGAGGGTCGAAAATGCTTCCTCCCTGCTGACTCTGGATAACCTTCGGCAAGCAGTGGAAAACAGCATAAGAGGATAAGAAGCGAATTCTATGCAGCACTTCGTGCCATTTCCCAGCAGAGCAAAAGGCTATCACATGAGGTTTTGGGGGTCCCACTGCAGCAGCTCAGTAAGATGCTGAGCAAAACATTAGCTCATATTGTGTTGTACGAACCAACAATTGCTTGCCTGCAGCTTCTCCCACACTGGTTCCTCCCGACTCAAGAGTGTCCTAGTCGGCTAGTCAGCATTGCTGGGCATCCACGTGTCAGTAAGAACCAGGCTAGTGCTCATGCGACAGCTGCTCCTACAATGTGGGAATCAGAGCTACCAATAGTCGAGGATTCGCCTTCGGCGGCCCTTCGACGTTGAAGCAAAGACACCAGGCAAGGCTACAGGCAGCCTTTGCCAGCACAGGGGCCTCACATGCAAAACACCTTTAGAGAGGCAGCGGTTGCCCGGTGACACAAGAACATGATAGGAACAGATGAAGCCGATCAAGCCTTGAGTCATTGAGAATCTGAAAAAGGCACCCCTGAGCCTGGACAAGGCAGCAAGACGGAGCACGTGTGAGCAAGATGGAGCCTGGCCTCCGTCACGACGCTCCCATCACGTCTGGTTTGCATCATGATGCCTCTGTCTGAGCATTCGTAGCAGAATCTTACTTCTCTCCGATGACAGGAATTCGCCTCTGGCGTCTGCTTCAGCATTTCAGCGCGCCCCACCCAGCCTGGGACAGTGTGGACCTCGCAGCGATTCACCGTCAATCCAATGAATCTCGACGACGCTTGACAGATTCAGACAGAAAGATCAGGTATGGCTGCTACCTCTCTGGCGCATAATGGGGTAGTCTTCAGGGGAGCGGCTAAGCAGCTTACAGATGCTCGCGAGCTGCATCCGAAGCAAGACGAGTTCTGCAACTGCCACTGGTTTGGTTTCGTATCTTGAAGCGGTGTTCGTGAGGCTTCACACTCTTTTGGTCCGGGCAGGACGTACAGAGGGAAGCACGTGAACATGCTGCAAGCGACAACAGTCTTATCTTGTGCCACTTCACCCGAACGTGATCAATGTACACAGCCGTCCATGCTCGACCCAAAACTTGTAGATTGCTTATTACGTCGGATTCCTAGGAACTGCAGGCCTGTTCGAATCGTCCTGCAGATTTGGAAGGCTGTTGGTCCGAAGCCTGAACTGGACAACACACGGCGCACTTGCGAGCGCTGCCTCTTGATGCCCTCCAGCCTGGACGAGTTGTTTCGGAAGCCCAGCGTAAATGTCACCTCAGCCGTAAACGCTCTCAAGAGTCACCCGCTTGCCCATGCTCCTCGTCCTTTTAAGATGCACGCTCCGGACATTGGGCGCGGGAATTTGTGGCCATGAGTCTCCTCACGTTTACAGTTTAGGCGAGCAGGTCTGGTGCAGCTTGTGCAAAATGATGGAATTGAATGATCTTTGGGAGCCCCGTCGTTGGCAAGCTTGCTGCCCTCTGAGAAAGTGCAGCCCACCTGATCTTCTGCTGGCACGGGGCCGCCGCGCAAGTCATGTCCGGACAGGGTGACTGGGGCTGCCGCGACGTTGCCTGAAAGCTTGCCGGGGATCAGCCCGCCTTATAAGCACGATGTTTGGCAGCACAGGCTACTAAAAGCACCTGCCACGATTGCAGCGAAAGGTGCTGTAGCCAGAGCAGGCAGCATAGGCCTGAAGGTGAGTCAGGAAGCTTGAGGGTGGCACAACTTGCCCATGCAAACCGAACCCTCTGAGCCAGATGCCCTTCCCATGCTTGGAGTTTCGGTCTGTGTTTCAAACTTGGCCCGCTCCTCGCAACCAGCCCCTTCACTGCCCAGATCTGTCCAGTCCTCTGAGCATCCAGAAGGCCTGGGCCTTCTTCCGCATGGAGTCATAGTGGAGCTCCATCAGGCCCCTTGACCTCTGCATTGCCCGAATCTCTGGTAAGTTGCATTCAGCAAGACTTCCAGCCGAGGGTCGTCCCCAGTGACTTCTGGTGCCTGGAGGGTGACAAAGAAGGGCCATTCAAGTACCTCTGCATTCTCAAAGCGGAGTCGCATCAAACACCGACAAGTTCTTGCCCACAAAGACTGTTTATGCGCACTCTTCGAAGACACCCTCCGTGTCCTCCCAAAGCGGAGGATAGCGCTGCAACCTGCAAGGATTTTCCGTGCAGGAACGCCCTTCACGGCCTTCAACAGTTTACGGCTGCTGAGCCAGGCGACTCACCGACCCCTGACCAGAACTTGCCTTTTGGGCTGCTGTACCTCTGGCGACGAGAAACGCTAGGTCCCTTCTGAGCCTAATCCCATTCCACCGAAAGGGGCACGTTCTTGGAGGAATGGCCAGCGAACAGGATGCACGATTTGAAGTCATTGGAGATGCCACCCACCTGAGACGTCTGAACACTGTCACTGTGCTTTGTTTCAAGCGGTATTGATGGTTGATGCCCACAGCTCATGCTGCACAACCCAGCCTGGGACCAGTCGCTGTCGAAGCTGAACTAAACTACACGTCGCTCAGAGTCTCTTGAGCCACATCTAGAAACTCCGCAGCCAACTTCTTGCCAGGATGATTCATGGAGCGCTCGCTAAACTGCCGTGATGTTCTACCGAGCCAAGCACAGGCTGCCTCCACCACCAAAAGCTGCTGCTGCGCAGCGTCCGCTATCTCTGCAGCTCGCATTAGCCGGTCGAGTCGTGTCTCCATGTTGCCAACCCACCTTAGCCCCGACACACACATTAGCCGGTATTGCGATCCCAGCAGCACGGTGTACTCTTCATCCTGAGCCTGGAGCGTGTCTTGGCATCTGTGCAGGTGAGCCACCTTGCTGTCAAAGAAACAGCAAGCTGCAAAACTTGACACGACGACGTAAGGCTGCTGCTTCGCTGCTGGTTACAAGCACAGCGTACTTGAGAACTTGTTCGCAGATCTGCGTCTCGTCCGCGCTTAGAAACTGGTAAATGTCCTGCCCGATCATCAGGGTAAGCTGCCTTTATGAGTGCCATTCGATACTCGAAAGTTTAAGAACTTGCAACGGTCCCTGATAACCTACTCTGGGGGTTTCCGCTAAAATTGATGTCGAGCGTGGGTGACACCGGGATTATGAATACGAAAGTTCACATTCGCCTTGACTCTCCAAGTCTGTGTATACTTTTGGTTTTTCAAAATGGTGGTGATAGAATTGTACGCGGATTCGGCTTCAACACATATCCTCATTTCAAGCTCATGCCTTCCTAACCAAGACGGAAGAGGCACATGCCACGAGAGCTGCTGCGACAGAAGGCCCGAATTTTCGCGTTTCAAGTTGTGCGAGGCCTGTGTGCCGTACCGTTATCGTTACCATTGCCGTTACCATTGCCATTCCCATTGCCACTACCACTTCCACTGCCATTACGATGGCTAGCACCATGACCATGACCATGACCATCATGACCTTGGCCACGACCATGACCATGACCAATGCCAAAACACATTACGGCGTAGTCGCAGTAGCAGTCATAGTCATAGTCAAAGCCACAGCCATAGCCATAGCCATAGCCATAGCCATAGAAATGGTCATAGCACTAGTCGTAGCCATAGTCCTAATCCCAGTCCTAGGACTGGGATAGGGACAGCGATTGCAACAGCAACAGGAATTGGGTTTTGGAAGAAGAAAAGGAATAACTAGAATCTGAAACTGCTACTGCTGCTGCTACCCCTGCCCCTACCTCTACTCCTACTCCGATTCCGACTCCTACTCCCACTCCTACCCTACTCCTATCACTCCTACTCCTACTACTACTACTATTACTACTACTACTACTACTACTACTACTACTACTACTACTATGACTACTACTAATCCTACTCCGACTCCCACTCCTACTCCTCCTCCTGCTGCTACTACTACTACTACTACTACTACCACGACTACTACTACTACTACTACCTCTAGTACTACTACTACTAGTGATACTACTACTACTACTACTACTACTACTACTGCTA